AAAAAAAAAAAAATCCATTTAAGTTCTTTATGTGCATTCATAATCATTTTTGACTTTGATAGGCCCCTATCTATGTGTCTGTAAGTCCTTAATGGACTCAGACTATATCTGATCAAATCACTCTGTGATACCTGCAGTATCACTGTTGAGGAGTGGTTAGATCTTTTTTTTTTTTTTTTGAGAAAGAGTTTCACTTTGTTGCCCCCAGTTGAGTACCCTAATGTCATAGCTCACAGCAACCTCAAACTCTCTGGCTCCACAATCCTCTTGCCTCAGCATCTCAAGTAGCTGGTACTATAGATGCCTACCACAATGCTCACTATTTTTTTAGAGATGGGGTCTCACCCTTGCCCAGGCTGGTTTTGAACTCAAGCTCAGGTGATTCACCCACCTCCACTTCCTAATTTATAAGCATGAGCTACCATACCCGGGGAGCAGTTAAATCTACTTTTTTTCTTTTTGGGACAGAATCTCCTCTTGTCACCCTGGGTAGAGTGCCATAGCATCATAGCTCACAGCAACCTCAAACTCCTGGGCCCAAGTGATTCTCTGGCTTCAATGTTCCAAGTAGCTAGGACTAAAGGCATCCGCCACAACACTTGGCTATTTTTACAGACATGGTCTTGCTGAGATTATACGGATGAGCCACTGCACCACGTTTTTCTCAGTGGTACTCTTAACCTTACTCCTGAAATATACTCCTAGAATATTTGAGGCCAGTTTATGAAATACAGACTGTAAACAGTATTACAAAGTAATGATCTCCAAAGTGGGTTTCTCACATGGGATGCAAGATAATGCACTGGAATACAGAAGGAAAATATCATGACTTCTCTTTATATCTTTTTTTTTGAGACAAAGTCTCAAGCTGTTGCCTTGGGTAGACTGCTGTGATGTCACAGCTCACAGCTACCTCAAACTTTGGGGCTGAAGTGATTCTCTTGCCTTGGCCTCCCAAGTAGTTGGGACTACAGGCGCCCACCACAATGCCTGGCTATTTTTTTTGTTGCAGTTGTCACTGTTGTTTAGCTGGCCCAGGCCAGGTTCAAACCTGCCAGCCTCAGTGTATGTGGCTGGTGCTCTACCCACTGAGCTATGGGCATTGCCACTTTTTGTGTCTGTTTTTATTTTTCCTATTTTCTTTTTTAAAAGATGTTTGCATGTTTTATAATGTTCCTAGAGCAGTAGCTTATACATGTATATAATATATCTTTTTTTTTTTTCTTTGTAGAGACAATCTCACTCTATTGCCCTCAATGGAGTGCTGTGGCATCACACAGCTCACAGCAACCTCCAACTCCTGGGCTTAGGTGATTCTCTTGCCTTAGCCTCCCGAGTAGCTGGGAATACAGGCACCTACCACAACACCTGGCTATTTTTTTGTTGCAGTTTGGCCGTGGCTGGGTTTGAACCCGCCACCCTAGGTATACAGGGCTGGTGCCCTTCCCATTGAGCCATAGGCACCGCCCATATATATCATTTATGTTCAAATATATTTTACTTAGATGATTACTATCAGCCCAGAATTCAAATATGGATATAAAGTTAGAGGATTTACATGGTTATAAGAATAATTTCAATAACCAGGTAAATTTAAGGGAAAGATCATCTGGACCTGGAGCTAGGTCTAGGAAATCAGCTCACGCAGGAGGTTTGGCACAGTAGGGGCAGGACAGGGAGTAGTGGTGGTCTCAGAAGCTTGGCTTGGCCCGTACCTGTTTTGGGCAGGGTCACCTCTTCTACATTAGGGACTGGTGAGGGCTCATCCATGTCCTTTGTCAGGTCTTCTTGCTCTTCTTCTCTGTGGCCACGCTTAGATTTGGTGTAAGGTGTTGAGGGACTGAAAGGGAAAGAGAATGAAAGAGAACCCAGTCATCCTTAGACAAAGACTCTCCAGAAGCTGAACGTCAAGAGAAGAGAAGCAACTTCAAAAGTAAAGCTGAGCACAAATAGAAATGAGTAACCAGAGTAAAGAGCAGTGGCAACGGCTTTTAATTTAATTACATGCTCTCTGAGTGTACAAGTGGTTGGAACTGGGACTAACAACTGAGAAGCTACAGAAGATCTCATCTTCTTCTCTCCTGGGACACCTGCAGTATCACGGCTTACCCAGGTCCTGGCCAGGTGGTCATGGACAGGATTTCTTTTCTTCAACTTGTGCATGTGTGTGGGGAATAAACATGGAGGCAAGTTAGGGCTGGCATACCCTTTCTTAGCATTTTTCTTCTTTGCTTCTGGGGTTGGTGAAGGAGAGGGTGAGCGCTTTCTCTTCTTATAGTTCCCTCCTTTCTTGTCCCTTCGATCTGAATCTGGACTGTTCACCTACAGGTTGGAGATATGGGACAAATGTCAGCCTACAATGCCCAGTGAAGTCTTGTTCTGAGACTATGTTAAGGGCTTCCAGGAAGAAAGAACTGAGACTTATGTTAAGGGCTTCCAGGAAGAAAGAACTGAGACTTATGTTAAGGGCTTCCAGGAAGAAAGAACTGAGACTTATGTTAAGGGCTTCCAGGAAGAAAGAATTTCTTTTCTTTTTTTTCTTAGAGACAGAGTCTCATTTTGTTGCCCTTGGTAGAGTGCCATGGTATCACAGCTCACAGCAACCTCCAGCTCTTGAGCTTAGGTGATTCTCTTGCCTTAGCCTCCTGAGTAGCCGGGACTACAGGCACCTGACACAATGCCCAGCTATTTTTTGTTGCAGTTTGGCCAGGGCCAGGTTTGAACCTGCCACCCTCAGTATACTGTCACCTTCAGTATACGGGGCTGGCACCCTACTCACTGAGCCAGAGGTGCTACCCAAGAACAGGATTTCTACCTCATCTGTCAACGTCCTAGCTGAAATCTTCTTTCGGCGGGAGACAGGGTTTTTGTCGTCATTTACTTCATAGTCTTCTTCATTCATCCATTCATTGAAGGTGTCAGTGTCTAGGATCCACTTTGCATGAACCTGAAGTACAAAGGCAGACTGTGCTAAAGGGAAACCTGGAAGCCACAGCTCTGTCTGGGGCTCCCTAACAGAAAAGCCCAGAGCATAGGAGCCTTTGTTCTACCTCCAAAGAGTTGCATTCTTCTTAGGGCAGGGGATATAAGAAAAGCTCACCTTCCTAGGTTTTTCAGGAGCTGGAGCATCTTCCACAGATGCTTCAATTTCACTGGCTTGGATCCATGTGTCATAACTGCCATGGAAAATTAAGCATGAAGGAGAATCAATGAGATGGAGTAGTGGAAAAGTTAAGTGCACATCTTTTATTTTTTCCATTTACAAAAGTATTGGGATGTTGGTTTATTTTTTGATATGATTATAATTCCAATTAATATTGGGATTCTTCCCCCCGCCCCCCCAGTTTTGGCCGGGACCAGGCTAGAATCCATCACCCCTGGTATATGGGGCCAGCACCATACTCCCTGAGCCACAGGCGTTGCCCTCTTTTTTTTTTTTTGAGACAGAGTCTCACTTTGTTGCCCTTGGCAGAGTGCCCTGGCATCACAGCTCACAGCAACATCCAGCTCTTGGGCATAGGCGATTTCTCTTGCCTCAGCCTCCCAACTAGCTGGGACTACAGGCACCCGCCACGATGCGTGGCTATTTTTTGTTGCAGTTTGGTCGGGTCTTGGTTTGAACCCACCACCCTCAGTATACAGGGCCGGTGCCCTACTCACTGAGCCACAGGCGCCGCCCTACATGGGATTCCTTTCTTTTTTTTTTTTAGAGACAGAATTTCACTTTATCATCCTCAGTAGAGTGCCCTGGCATCACAGCTCACAGCAACCTCTAACTCCTGGGCTTAGGTGATTCTCCTGCCTCAGCCTCCCAAGTACCTGGGACTATAGGCCAGCACCACAATGCCCAGCTATTTTTTGTTGCAGTTTGGCCAGGACCAGGTTTGAACCTGCCACCCTCGGTATATGGGGCTGGCGCCCTACCCACTGAGTCACAGGCATTGCCCAGAGATTCTTTTCTTTGTAAAGTAACAAAAGCACATTACAAAACACCTCAAAAATAGACAACAAAAAGAATCATCCTCCCACAGCACCTATAGCACAGTGGTTACGGCGCTGGCCACATGCTAACCCGAGGGTAGCAGGTTCCAGCCTGGCCCGGGCCATCCAGTTAAACAACCACAACCACAACAAAAAAATTGCCAGGTGTTGTGGTGGGCACCTGTAGTCCCAGCTACTTGAGAGGCCGAGGCAAGAGAATCACTTAAGCCCAAGAGTTTGAGGTTGCTGTGAGCTGTGACACCACAGCACTCTACCAAAAGTGACATAGTAAGACTGTGGAAGTGATTATGGCACCAGCCATGTACACTGAGG